CATTACGCGAAATTAGCATTCAACTGATCACATTCCTAAGGTCCGATCTCTAATTGTTTACTTCCCATGTTAAGTATTCTTTGTCCTAATTTGGTTACTAAACCCCCCCCCCCCCCCATTTGATATTAATCGTTAAAACTTCGTAATTTGTTTTCATGTTATGAAATCTTTACTTCTACAAACGATTAGGACACGTTGTCACTTCTTAATTGAATTCTTTACCGTATCACTCCCTGTGGGATCGACCCCAACTCTTAATTGAGTTTATACTTGTTAGCGATCGCCTACACTTAGAATTGGATGAAAGTGTAGTTGAGCGTTATCAAGATACATCCTTACACACCTAAGGGAGGTGTATTCATCTTCTTGGGTAGATCAGCGTTTAAGGGTTACAAAATATTGAAAATAAAAGGTTCAGGGGGATAATAGGACCCCTGTGAAGTATCAGTGTTTAGTTGAGAATTGACTAATAGATTAGGAGGGCATTTGACCATTAAGACCACTAAAAAAAGATCTCTTAAAATATATGTAGATCCTATTGAAGTATTTCATAATTTTTTAATATAAATTGTCATAATAAAAAGGAACAACTAAATCAAATAATTACAATGATATTGTTAACAATTAAGTTCTTAGATACTCTCCAGATCATCTACAATGATTATATTAATTCTGGATTCACATATTAAAGAGCACCTAATCTCACAAACTACTTTCTAAGAAGGGTGTTGTGAGGATTAAACCTTCAATAAAAAGATAAACTTAAAATTAACCATGTGGTTAAATTCGAGGAATTATGTTGACATAATTTAGATGATTGATCATCTGCATTTTTTTAATCTAAAAATTTATATAAAATATTTACCTTAAAACATATGTCTTCTTTAATTAGTGAATAAATATGCCAATCAAAAGAAAAAATGTAGAGTTTGAGATGTACGTATCAAATGACATGAACAAAAGTATCTTACATAATAATTGTGGTGGGTTTTTGTTAGTGTATTTGATGTAAAGATTTAGTGATTGTGTCTTTGTTTTGTTATGACACAAGATAAATATTTAGTGATTTTGTCTTTGTTTTGTGATGACATAAGAGTTTGAGATGTATTAAATGACATGAACAAAAGTATCTTAACAAGACCAGATGATTCATTAGTAAAATAATAAATATAAGAGGCTTACATACAGAAGAGTTTAACTATTAACCCTAGTAATAACTATTATGTTCTTAATCGACATAGAGTTAAGAATCGTGAGTTTAATATATATATATATATACACTTTGATCAATCAACATTTGTATGTGTGCTTTTATAATAACTAGTTTTTTTTTGTTTCTTATCAATTACTATAATTTATAATAATAGTTATGATAAAACAATACATATATTGTACTACTTGCATGTGCACCTCACATGTAAATTTAACATAATTATACATTGTTAAAACCTTAAAAGATGAGTCATCACTCTAGATATTTGAATGATTTTTTCATTATGAAATCTTATACTGTAAATACTTTTCTCTTTTTCTCTACTAATAAACAACTTGAAAAATAATATCTTATGAATTGAAGGAAAAAAATCAGAAATATACATTAGCTAACTTACATTATAAAAATATATTTCAAATTTACATCACAAATTTTTAGCCCAAACACAATTCGGTACACTATATACAAAATATTTCATATTTTTACTTCATATAAAAATATTTTAAAAATTGATATACAATATTATACATTCTTACAGAAAATTGGATTGTCTTCTTCCTTGAATCCATGCATCAAATTCATCCAAAAACACCTAAAAATGCACCAAATCACCAATAATTTTATATTTAGACTTCTGGTCTTTTGCAACAATATCCACTCGAAGCGCAGTTTATTTGCGGAAATTTGATTTTTAAATCTTGAACCTTCAAGCTTCGACAATGGTTGTCTATAGCTCCAATAAAATGTTAAGTGTACTTCATAGTAACTACAATAACAGAGATAAATAATGATATAATATGTATTTTTTTCAAATCAGGAGCTACTATCAATTACTAAGCTATGTATACATATGAGACCATTTATTGCACCCCAAACAATTGGAGCAAACAAATTAGTTAATTATCGCTATTAATCGCTGCAATAACCATCATAATCGGAGAAATTACCATTGACTTAGCTATCAACAAATTTATGTAATAATAAAATCACATTTGAAAATTTGAAAGATCAATGAAATGTGGGAGGAGAGAGAAAAAATAGTAGGTTAGCAGCTAAATTTGTAAAGTTTACTGAAAAATTGGGCAAAATGTCAACCCATCAAATTTATTGTAACATCTCGCACCTAGAAACGACTATAAAGAGTTTAAAATATGAAAATATTGATTTTTGGAAAGAATAAGGAAGTTGGGAAATTTTGTCTAAGTTAAGAAAGTAAGTTTTGACCATTTTCAAACGGCCATAACTCCTAGCTCAGGAGGAGTTTGGAGTAGCTCTTGATATGTTCGGAAACCCTTGGAGAGATATTTCCAACGCCGCCAAGATTGAAGGATTTCGACATCGTATGAGTGAGATATGCCTTCCGGAAGTTGGGTTGTTGGATTGAGGAAAGTTTCAATCCGGATTTAGGGAAGGGCAAAGTAGTCTTTTCCCTAATTAATTTCCTAATTCATTTTTAGGGATAATTTAATTCAGTTTTGAAAAGTTAGAATACGCTTAGGGCTTGGAGAAGAGAGAAAGAAAGAAAGAACGGGAGAAAAAGGCAAGAATTAGCCAAGATCATTCAAGATTTGCGAGTGGAATTCGTCGGGGGTGATCCCTATTAAGGTATGTGAGATTTCTTTCGTGTTGGGTTAGTTCACCCACACACTAAATTGTTTCAATTCAGCGAAATTGGAGTTGTTTGAATGTTAAGAAAGTGAAGTTCTTGAAGAACATTGTTGAATTCTTGTGGGTTGATTGTTGAATGCCTAGTGTCAAATTGATTCATGTTTCCGGGTTGTTTTGCGAGTTAGATTGGTTGTATATTGAGGGTAAAATTGATCCTAGGGGTTTGGGGAAAGTACCATGGAAGTTTGGAGGGTTTAGAGATGAAAAACGGAGGAGAAAAGTCGAGAACACCTGGGTACAGGGGTTGGGGTGTCGCGCCCCAAAATGTCCTCTGAGGTTTGGCCTCTGGCGCGTCGCCCAGCCAAAGTGCCCCACCCAGCTCTCTGAGGTTTGGGGCCTGGCGCCCCACGCCTCTCAGTGCGCCAGGGACGCCAGTTCTCCCCATTCGTTCCCCACCTTCTAGTACGTGTTACTAAGTGATGTACCTACGTTTCCTAGTCGATTCTAACACTCTAAAGTACATCTAAACATCATGAAATCATCCATAAACATGAGATCATGAACCTTGAATCCATAATTCAATTCAAGGAAAGTTAAGTTCAAAGTCAAAGAAGTTAAGAGTCAAGTCTAGAAGTTAAGGAGTAAGTCAAAGCAAAGTTTCTCAAAGTTCTCAAGGGTCTTTAATAATGTTTTAATGTCATTTTTAAGACTTAAGTTTTGAAGTTAAGCAAGAGTAAAGCTATGATTTGAAGTTCTTTTCTTAAAAGAGGTCTATGGGGACTATGTATTCCCAAAGAAGTTTAAAAGAAATGTTTTTCACCTTTAAACAAGATCGGGAACTGAGATTTCCAAAGAGCCTTCGGGCTAGTTTTCAGAAAAGAATAATAGCTTTCTAAATGAAGCAAGCAGGGGAAATTAGATTTCCAAGATACCCTTTGAGCTAAGTTTTTGAGCACTAATCTCAAATCACAGAGGAAATATGTTTTAAAAACATAAGAGTCAGTACATTTTTTGGAGTAGTATTGAGAACCGAATTGGGGGAGCGTTCAAAGAACCCACAGCCCCCATAGAACCATGTAGCCATCATGGGTAGAAGAGGTTCATACTTTTTAGATGAATCCTTTTCAAATTAGACTAGTGGATCCATTAGGCAGTTCAGGTTCTATACCTTTGGCCGGGTATAGGATGCTCTGGCAGCGTGAGGTTGATCGTTGTATCATCACTACAGCTCTTATGTGATGGTTGTCGGTTAGAGAAACTCCCACAACAGTTATTGTATTTCTATATACATCAGTTCATTTGTATTTCTACATACATCTCAGATTTATTGTATCTTTGCATACACAGAGTTTATAGCATGTTTTAAACAACTTTTCTTTATATTGCACTTGCTGTAAATTGCTTTATATTGAAATGAATCAGTCAGGTTGAGTTGAGTGAGCCAGGTAAGTTATTCAGTTTCTTTCAGATTCATTCTAGCCTATGTGTGGTTTAGCATTCCAACTCGCATAATTGTACATTCAATGTACTGATTCCAGTTGGCCTGCATCTTATTATGATGCAGACGCAGGTAACCAGGATCAGCATCCAGCACCTCGTTGATCCAGTTGAGCAGTTCAGAGTCAGTGGTGAGCCTCATTGCATTTCAGAGGACTCTTTTATTCGCTTTCAGACTTTCATTTATTACGATGTTGTGGGGTTTGTCCCAACATCCATCTCAGTATTTTAGAGGCTTCATAGACAGTCAGATAGTTATTAGTTCAGATGTCTTTCTTTATCTTTCAGATGTTGTTTAAGACTTAAGTGCCATTTTGGCCAACTTATTATTCTTTAAGTTATTATTTGAGATTATTTCATTAAGTTAAGTCTTCCGGTGAGTTAAGTAAGTCAGGCCAAGGGTTCACTTCGGGACAGAAATAGTCTCCGAGTGCCAGTCCCGCCAGGGTGTAGGCTCGGGGAGTGACAAATATGGTATCAGAGCACAGAGTTCAAAAGTCATAGGGAGTCTATGAAGCCGTGTCTGTAGAGTCTTAGTTATCGGTGTGAAGTGCACCACATCTATAATTAGGAGGCTGCAACATTTAGGAAATTCTTTACTTCCTTCATATCCATCTCGTGCGTTAGAGTGTATCTCTAAAAGTTTCCCTCTAATTCGTGCTTGTGCGTGTTACAAATAACCATGCCTCCACGAAGAGCAGAACGAGGTCGTCCAGCTAGGAGAAATATTGAACCACAAAATCAAGAATTACCTAATGCACCTGAAGTGCAACCGCAAAAAGAGGTCTCTAAGGCTGAGTTTAGAGAGGCTATAAGGATGCTTAGCCAAGTTGTGACTAATCAGGCTGGGCAGCAGAGAGGAGATCGGCAAGAAGGGACTGACACTTCAAGGATTCGTGAGTTCTTGAGGATGAATCCCCCAAGTTTCACTGGTTCGAGCACTGCAAAGGATCCAGAGAACTTCATTGAGGAACTGAAAAATGTGTTCGATGTGATGCATGTTATTGATACTGCGAGAGTTGAGCTAGCTACAAATCAGATGAAGAATGTTGCTAGGACCTGGTTTGATCAGTGGAAAGGGGGTAGAGCTGAGGATGCACCACCTGCGAGTTGGGCATGTTTTGAGGAGTCCTTCTTGGGACGATTCTTTCACCGAGAACTGAAAGAGGCTAAGGTACATGAGTTTCTCACCCTAAAACAGGATTATTTGAGTGTGCATGAGTATGGGTTGAGGTTCACCCAACTGTCTCGCTATGCTTCGGAAATAGTTGCGGACATGAGGAGTAGGATAAGTTCGTTTGTTGCTGGTTTGGGTCGCCTGTCAAGCAAGGAGGGCCGAGAAGCGATGCTTATTAGGGACATGGACATCTCGAGGTTGATGGTCTATGTGCAGCAGGTAGAGGAAGAGAAGCTAAGGGATAAAGAGGAGTTCAAGAACAAGAGAGCTAAGACAGGGAACGAGTACGGGCAGTAGAATAGTAATGCAAGCCGGTCGTCTTTCCAACAGAAATAGAAGGGACCTGCTCCATCATCTGCTAGTGCACCTGTACCTAAGAACAAGAATGAGTACTATGGTCAAAATTCCAGAGTTTATCTTCAGATGTTGTTTAAGACTTAAGTGCCATTTTGGCCAACTTATTATTCTTTAAGTTATTATTTGAGACTATTTCATTGAGTTAAGTCTTCCGCTGAGTTAAGTAAGCCAGGCCAAGGGTTCGCTTGGGGCCAGAAATGGTCTCCGAGTGCCAGTCCTGCCCAGGGTGTAGGCTCGGGGCGTGACATTTATTTACACTCAAATTAGTCTACTTTTAAAAAAAACCATTGGTTTATTACATTAATTAGTTATATTGTTGTATTCCCTTTCCTCTTTCTTCTTTTCTTTCTTTCCCTTCTTCTTCTCTTCCATGAATGATTTCTTCTCCAAATTAAACCATCTTGTTCTTTTTCTTCAATCCTCTCTCTTCTTTTTCTTATTTTTTTTTTTCTTCTCCAAAGTTAAAAATATGAAGATGATGAAATTGTTGTTTGAATTTTTAATAAATTTTGATTTTGATTTTTATATAGCCTTGCTATTGACAAAAAAAATCATAATTTTTTATAGAAATTTTTTGGAAGCTCAATTTTAAGTTGTTATAGTCTAATATAATCATTATAAGAGAAAGCTTCCAAATTTTATAAGTGGTTAAATTGAAAAGAATATTAATTAAATAGTTATTAAGTTGTACTATTATTTATTCTCTAGGATACAAAAAGTGTATCAAAGAATTTCACCTTTTAGTGAAACACCAACAATCCATAACTGTTATGAATTTATTAGAGTGACTTAAAAGAATTTTCATCTTTTAAATATGACATTATTTTATAATCGTTAATAAATAATTATACATTATATATACTATCAATACATTATATACACAAGCTGCCATTTTTTTATTGTACAATATCGATATATACATTGTATGTCATATATACATGTTTATGCATATTGATACATTACATAATCTATTTATAATGTATGTGTATAGTATAAACAATGCATATGGATATGTATACATTTTTTATACATAGATATACATCATATATATAATTATACACTATGTATATAATATTGATATATTGCATGACTATTTATACAATATTGATACATAACATGTATAACATTTCTTTTTGTTGAAACTTTTTTATTACATGTATGAAAAATGTAGAAATTTGCTCCATCACGTTGTTTCCCTTGTTTTTAATGTGAGCAATACCTTGAGAAGTCGTGTATATAGTAGTGATATTCACAACAAAAAGGAATGCAACTTTATCCACGATTTTTCTCCCATTTAACCACAATTTTTCTGTGGTTCAATCTCACGATTTTTAATCCATTCTTGGGCTACTTTTTATGAAAGAAAAATTAAGTCCATACCGCAAAATAATTTCAAATAAATACCCTCTTGTCTAAATTGATTACAATAGACTTCTCTTCTTTCAACAATCCAAAAAAGAAAAATTCTGCTCCCTTCTACAACACAACACGATCCCTTCCCCAGTTCTCCTTTTTTCCCCAATTCAAATCAACAATCCACTCCGCAACATTCTATCAGTGGAGGAAATTGCGATTATCCTACAACATCATGAAAGTTGAAATTCAAGATAGCAACATATCAATTCGGATGTTAAGACAATAATAGTAGAATCTACATTCAATTACAAAAATTTAGTCACACAAATCTCAAATCAACTCAAAATTATTGCTTCTGAAAACATCGAAATCAAGTATATATGCAACTGCACCTCAATTTTTGCCATTGAAAATATCTAATGATATAGTCTACATTGAGTTGAAGAAGAAGAAGAACCTGAAATTACTTCTTATCAAGTGGTAATCGCTTACAACCACTATTTCACAAAGTCAATCCTCAATTCTTAAGGAACTTCTAAATCCTCAATGATACCATAACAACAATATATATTGTTATGATATCATTAAGGAACAACTAGATATTTAGAAAAAGTTACATAAATATTGAATGATATCATCGTAGTATATATATACTATGCCATAGAAGGTACCACAGATGCCAATCTCAAGTTCCAAGCTGAAAATGAAAGCGTCTTGACATTTATTGTGGACCGATCTTTTTTTGGGCTTGTTGTTTATTTTGTCTTCTTTGCTGAGACGGTACTGAGCCTGTGACTTTGTATTTTGACCTTTGCTTTCATTTAAAAGGTTCAATCTGGACCAAGGTTTATGTTTAAAAAAATAACACACACACACACACACATATATATATTGATGATATCATAAAGATTTTCCTAAGTCATTCGATGATACATGAATGATACTATCATAATATATTCATATATTATCATGATATTGGAATTGTATAATTGAGGAGCAACTATTGTTTACCAAATCAATCATCAATCCTTAATGAGACAGTTCTAAAATCCTCAATGATACCATAACAGACATTAAAAAAAAATTGCACAAATACTGAATGATACCATCATATATAGTGAATAGTGATGGTACCAAACAAACTGAAGACGAATTGGACCTAGGCTAGGAAGAGAGCACACTAGGTAATTATTTTGGGAGACATGACATAAAATGAGTTAATTAGGGATGAGCTATTGGCGGATAATTAGTTTGGTTTTTGTGTCCACTAAGTGTATTTTTTCAAAAAAATAATCATATTTATTATAAACTAATTACTTTATTATATATAAATAAAATTGTTCTAAGTTTAAAATATTCATCCATTTTGACAATAGATTTAAGTTAATTATACTGTCAAGTAATTATCTCATTAAACAATAAGTCTAAATACTATTGATCCTTCTAATAGGATTAGATGAGGTGGGAAAAAAAATCAAATAATTAGTGATTCGCTGGGAGATAAATTTTTGTTTGTTTAACTATTTGTCTATTTCACAAAGATCTTTTAATTTTCTAGTACGTTACCACCTTTTAAAAAAATCTGCAAATGTTGATATACAACTCATTTTCTTATAATTATTAGGAAACCTACATAGACATATTTCACTATCATGTATATTATTAATATCTATACTTTTAAAATATTACGTATGTTATCACTAATTAAGAATTATCTATCATATATTAAAGAAAATACAATTAGATACGTATATTATTGCTATTAGATACACGAAAATAAGGAAAGAGGCGAGCTAGATTACAGAGGGAGGCGAGCGAGGTTCATATATATCCCAGATACATGCGAATCACACTAGATACACACTAGATATATGTACATATATGTATCTGGTGTGACTCACATATATATGGGATACAAGATGCATTAGAGAGTGGAGAGCAAGAAGGGAGAGAGGCTAGGGAGGTGAGCGAGGTTTGTTATGCATCCCAGATATATGTGAATCCACTTTGATAAGATGTATCTAGAATAAATTACAACTAATTTTGACCTCATGTATCAGAAATACATGTATCTGGACGTGTCTAGAGGCACCAAAATCTGATAAGATACATAATATTGCACATGAAAGTGTATCTAATTAATTGGCTCCTAAACTAGTGAAATTTATGTAAGTTCCCCAAATTGTTACCCATGATTCGCAAATAATTGTTGGAAATAAAGGGATAGTGCACAAATATCCTTCCCCTCAAACTATATTTAAAATTTTAGCGACACGCCTAAATTTTACTAGGAGCCCCTTATCTCCTTAAATATATATTTTTTAAAATATTTTTTGTTCCTTTTGTACTGACGTGATATAGAAAATGTGCTCACTTTTTTTGAAGCAAGTGAGATGTAACACCCTAGAAAATTTTTAAACTATGACTCGAACCGTTCTTCGTAGTGAGTGACATTTTTGCAAGGAATTAAATTTGTTTTGAGTGTTAAGATCACTAGAGGTAATACCTTAAGTTTCAACAAGAACTTAAGAGAGTTCATTCAAGTCCTTCTTAAGTTTTTCTTAAGTTTTGGGTTAACTTCAAACGACCATAACCCCTAGTACAAGATGATTTAGGTGAGCTACAAGATGGAAAATTAAAGCCCTTTGAGTCCTCTTTCCAACGCCACCGAGTTTGCTCAATTCTGAGCTTTGAGTAAAAAGTTATGACGGATTTACTAACGTCGCGCAAACCTGGCAGCAGCTCCGCGACACGAAGCCAAACACAGACCTCACTGCCTGGTGAAAGATCTTTCCGATTCCCAGCTCGTTTTAATAATTTCATAAAGGGTATTTTAGTCCTAAAAACCCTTAGGAGGTCATCTAAATTGCCCTAAACGAGTAGAAAATCAGTTTTCTTAAATCAAACCCTCTCATTCACTCCAAAGATTCTACGCTCAAGAAAATCAAGAAACTCTAAGGCTAAGTTCATCTTCCCAGATTTTCCTTCAAGTTCTTCAAGATGATGATTCTTTCAGGTATGTAAGCTTTCATAGTGTTGGGTTTGTTCTCCCTCACGCCAACCATGTTTAATTCTATCCTTGAATTCGTTTTTGAGATTGAATTATTAAGTTCTTGAGAAATTCTGGAGTTTTAGCCAATATTGATAATCTTATTGAGTTCTTGAGGTTTGTGCTTCGTTCTTTGATAATGAAGTTCTCATTGAGTAGTAGAGGCGAGGGTTTGCGAATAAAATGAGTTAATTGACAGTTCCTTGTGTGGGTTTCGCTGAAATTGTTTTTGGGTTAAAAGAATTCGTGAAATTTGACCTTAGAATTGCAGTAGGTGTGAGTTGATTCGAGTTTGAGAGAGGAAGCAAAGATCGGGAAAAAATATGTGCCCAGCTCTGCGTCGCAGAGGTGTTTTAAACATTCAGTCCTCCGAAAAGTACCCCCCCCCCCTCTTCCACGTCGCGAAGACGATACAGAGTCCACTGTCCCAAAATTTATTTTTGCGATCAAAGATTTAATTCCATCTCCGCGTCGCGCCAGTGTTATTTAATTTGGGTCTTCTCCCGTTCTTGAAAGCAACTATCTTAACCCTCCT